GCCTGGCTGGCAGGGAGGAAGAGGCACAGGGGGAGGAGAGTCCTTTACTTTTCCCAACCTTTCAGTAATCGCTGAAGGAGAGAGAAAGTTTTGTCTGGGGTTAACCAAACTGATTCCCGCAGTGCCACAGGAGGAGACGTTTGGGGGCTCTTTTATTAGTAATGAATGTCAGGCCTATATGATTTCCAGACAAAAGAGGGAAAACAAAACCTTTCTTTGCCCCTGCTGACATCGTTTCACAGGCAGCAGCAACTGTTTGCTGTGACCCAGCTCTCGGGGTTAACCCTGGTTTGGAGCAGGAGAAAACCCTTTCCAGGAGTCACAACGGAGAACGGGAGGCATCGAGGAATGGAAAGTAGAGCTGCAAACACATTTTTGTGTGGGATGCAAAGAGACATCCAGTCTTCTCTTCTCCACCACCTTCCAGCACATCGCATCACCAAGCCCAGCTTCAGGGCAGGGAGGGCTGAGGTCCTCTCCTTTTGGAGACCATCCAGGCATCAGCCCTGCACTGCATCACCCTGTTCACCAGTAGTCGCTTCCCGGCTGCACAGAATGAAAATAGAGCTTGACTGGGAGCAGAACACACTGTGACCTTTTTACTGCCAGGGCACCTTGGCAGGACAGGCTACGGGAGCACAGGGGGAAATCACGACCTTAACCTCTGCTTTACTGTGTGGGTGGATACAGTGCCCTTTGAACTTGTGTTAGCCATGGGATGAGAGATGGACACTGTCCCAGGGATGGAGACCTGCAGAATGCCAGCCCATGCTGCCTCAGGCAAGCTATAGGCTGAATTACTGCTGAATTACTAGGGCTCAAGGGCTCTTTTTCATTTCTCTCTGGTGATTTTTTTGTTGTTGTTTTGGTGGGGTTTTTTGCAATGCTAATAGCTCTGCATTGCACTGGCTGCTGATCCCTCATTAATCTGGGCAGCGCTTTACAGCCAGCCGGAGTGACTTTTGGCAGGTGCACAAAGGCAGGCTGCAAAATGCGGACCCCTCCAGCCAAAAAAAAAAATTACCATGCACAGCCTTCCTCCAACTTTTGTCTCTGTGTGGCAGGGATGCGGATTAAGGAATTTCTCCCTCTCCCTTTGATGCTGTGTGCCCAACCATCCCTCCGTGTCCTCCCCAGTCTGTCCTCGCTGCCTCTCCCTTTCTGTTCCAGTTGGATCCTGTGTGTTTTCCCATCTGCTGCTGCTGCTGCATTTCTGTGCTGAAACACAGGCACCCGCTCATGGACTTTCTCGTCAACTGTGACAAAGCTGTTCCCTCTCTGATATATCCCCTAGCTCAGAAATGCCTCGTGAAAACCCAAACTGCACTTCAGGACATCCTATGTAAGGAGGGAGATGGGTGCTGTACCTTACACCTTCCCTTTTTATTTGCTGTCTAAATACCTTAGGACAGCATCCCCCGAGATCCCACAAGGAAGATGCTTCATCCTGGGTCTTGGGGAGCATCCCCATGGCCCCATAGTCCCATGTGCAAACATTCAGCTGCAGACCAACTGCATCTGGGGGGCAGCAGGGAAAGCAGGTGCTGAGGCCGTCCCTTCAAGTGCTGTATGTGCAGGACTAGGTGCTAGGAGCCTGTCCCTACTGGGCACCCTGATCCAGCTTGGGTTTGGTGCAGAGGAGCTCAAACCCCTTTCCTGCAGGACTGTCCCCTGGGAAGGGAGCAGCTAACCCTGCCATAGGGATGAGAGGCAGCACAGAGCTGGTTCTTTGCCTCTTCAGCAGGCTGGAAAAGCAGTAAAGCCCAGCACAGAGCCATACTGGGGTCTGAGGTCTTGCCTGCCTCTACTTCATGCAAGGCCTCTCCTTGAAGACATTTCTCCTGTGCAGGCAGCCGCAGTCACATTCTTTGCCCCAGCAGGACGGTGACGTCCTGTGATCACCACAGCTGTGGCCCCTTTCAGTGTCACCCAGCAGTACCATGGCACAGCTCCAGATGCCTTTCCTGACACCAAGCAGCAGGGCAGTGGGGGGACAGGGAACAGGCACCATGGCACAGCTCTGATCTCTGAGACTGGCTGAGGCATTAGCAGTATCTGTGCTGGAGCAGCCTTAGGGCTGTGTGCCCCAGAATGATGACTAGGCATTAAAGACAAATTCTGGCTGAATGATCCCAAGCGCTGCACCTGCTTCCAGCACTGAAGCCTACACCCCCTAAACCTGGCACCCTAATCAACTGCCCTTGTGCCAGTGGGTCAGACCTTGGCTCAGTGCTTTTGCTCCTCCCTGCAGAACTCACGCCCCATGTGCAGGGATAAACAAGGCTCAGCATCGCTCTGCCCAGCCCAAAAAGTGCAGTGCTGAGACAGACACACACCTTTCTCCCTGCTCCCCTGTGGATTTGGTAACAACTTTGCACCTTGCAGGCGGCAGAAGGCCCTTTGCTCCAGATGTGCTGCAGATGTGGGGCTCCAAGCCACTGGGAGCAGCTGAGAGCACAGAGGATGGCTTGCAGCAGGCTGCAGGCAGCACTCAGAGAGGGAACAGGGGCAGAAAGGCTCTTGCCCACAGTGAGAAAGCAAAGCATCCTTTTCTCTAGTGGGGAACTTAAGAGTGGCTGTACAAAAGCTGAGGGTGATATCTGTGTAACAAAAGGATTAAATCTGTGCTGGGATGTCGAACATGCTGTGCAGGTGAGATGGGAAGAGGGCTGATTGTTTCTCAAAATGGGTTCCTGCCTTTCTGATATCCCTGCAGGGAGCAGGGTGATGGCTTTGACCACTCCAGTCATTAGCCAGGCAGTGCTGCCAAGGCACACATCCCTGGTAGGGACATTGTCCCCATGCATGCCAAGGTGCAGTGTCAGGACATCTTGCCACATCAGCACACTGACTGTGCTGCAATCCAATGGTGCAGCCCTTCTGGCTGTTCAGTTCTTTTCCGTTTTTGGGATGCAAGAAAGAACCAGGCAGAAGTTTTCATCACTATCTTTCTCCTGCTGTTGAACCAAGATCTTAATCAAATTCAGCTGTCAGTGTTACCCTGGGCAGTGGGATGCTGTGCTGGAGCCTTCTGCTCCTAGAAGCATCACCCACCTTGCTGCTGTCTCCCGGATCCTCAACCACCATCTGCTCCCACACCCCAGATGTGGACCCTGGCTGAGTTCTGGGGCTCACTGGGCACAAAAGATGCTCTGGCATCTTCCCTGAATAATGTCATAGAATCATAGAATCCTTAGAGTTGGAAGGGACATTTAAAGGTCATCTATTCCAACCCCCTGCAATAAGCAGGGACATCCACAGCTAGATCAGGCTGCCCAGACCTTGATCCAGCCTTGCCTTGAAAGTCTCCAAGGATAGGGTATCAACCACATCTCCAGGTAACTTGTTCCAGTGCCTCACCACCCTCACTGTAAAAGACTTTTTCCGTATATCCAACCTAAATCTACCCATCCTTGAGTTTGATGTTTCCCTTTTTTCTGTAATCACAGACATTGCTGAAGAGTCAGTCTTCTTATTCCTGTAGCTCCCCTTCAGATATTGAAAGACTGCTCTCAGGTCTCCCTCAGCCTTCTCTTCTCCAGGCTGCACAGCCCCAGCTCTCTCAGCCTGTCCTCATAGGAGAGCTGTTCCATCCTTTGGATGATTTTTGTGACCCTCCTCTGGGTGTGCTCCAACAGGTCTATGTCTCTCCTGAGCTGAAGACTCCACATCTGGACGCAGATGTCCCTGCCCCCAGAGCTGCGCAGAGCCACTGGGACCACAGCGCTTGGCTTGAAGCCATCAGCAGGCTCAGAGGCCAAGCACCATGTCCCCCCTTTGCCTCCTGAGCAGATGGGCTATGTCAGTCCCTCATCCCCCCTGGACATGTTTATTATCAACATGTGTTGTGAGGGAAGGTGGTTTGTGTCAGCTGGGTGAGTGGGGAGGAGAAGGCTGCACAAAAGGGTGTCCATGGTCATGCAGGGTTTGTGTGGCCCCATGCTACTCCATGCCAGACACAATTAGGATGGATGGGAAATGAAACCAGTGGGTTTTAATGATGAACCTCAAGGAAGGGTGCAAAGTGATGCACAGTGCTCTCCTGCAGCGGTCCCTTTGGAGTCCGTTGCAGCTTGGTGTTATCCCTGGCATGTTGTGTCAGTGCTGAGCTTTCCTCTGCTGTCAGCACTGTGTGTTTGCTCACCAGTGACCCTGCAGTGTGGATGCGTCCCTATCAGGACGTATCTCCAAGTGGATCAGATGTCCCCAGAAGGTCTGGACTAAGATTGGAGTTCAACCACTACATCAGCAGCCACATGGCCAGGAGGACAGCAGGACCTCCAGTGGCCCAGGGAGTAGTGACAAAAAGACAGAGGGCATTTTTTTTAGGAATGACAGTTGGATACGAGTTTGTTCCTGTGCAGCTGCCCAGCCAAAGGGCTGCAAGCCCAGGAGTGGGATTGCTGGAGATGTACTGGCAAGGGAATCTCCCCTCAGTCCTGAGAGCATGTGCATGCATGGACTGTCAGTGCCACAGCTGCCCTGCTCCCCACATCCCAATGTCCGAGCAGAACTGCCCACACATTTACTAGTTTCTGGTGACCTCTAGAGGAAGCAACTCCACTCTGACTCTGCAGATCTAGGGACTCACTGCACCCTTGGCTTAGACGGAGCTGGAGCATCTCCCTGTATGTCCCTGTGCTGCACCGTGGTCATACCTCTGACCCAAACCACCCCAGAAAAACTTCCAGTCTGGTTTGGAGGATGCATGGGACATGTGGATATCAGGGTTAACTCTCTCCTTATTTCCATTTATGCACAGCCTGCTTCAATCCCAGCCCTTTACCCCCTTGCTTTTATCCCCTTGCTTTGCCTTTTAGATGATATTTTCTCCCTATGGTGGTAAAAAAGGGACATAAACCAGCCTCTTTATCACCCTTTATCAACCAGCTAGGCTGGGCTAAACACATTGATCATCCCTTACCTTCCATTGCCGGAGTTCCTCCTCTGGCTGCCTCCCATCCCCAGCAACCCCCTGCCTGATCCCCACCTGCCCACAGGTAGAGCTGTCGGATGGGACGTCACACACCATCACAGATGCCTATGCTGGCAAGGAGTACATCATCCAGGTGGCCGCCAAAGACAATGACATCGGCACGTGGAGCGACTGGAGCGTGGCTGTGCATGCCACCCCCTGGACAGAGGAGCCCAAGCAGCTCACCACGGAGGTTCAGATCACAGGTGAGACCCTCACCCAGCACAAACACCCTGCACTCAGGGGTCCTGGGTATGGAG